CACTTGCGATATTTCGTCAATTATGGAAGCTTATAGTATAGTAATGATGGTTCCATACGTGATATTTTTATTGGAGGCAACAGACATTTCTCCTTAGATAGTGAGAAAAAACGGGTTTGATGTATGGGAGATGGTTAAAAATGGCAACGAGTCGGGATTGGGTGGCCATCCCCCATTCGCTCGTGAGATAGGGTAGGGCACGGTGGATATTAAAACATTCCCATTGCCCAGTACATTTTCCATCAACTTATTTATTTGTTAAATAAGATTTAAATTCAAAAATATAAACATTCCCATTGCCCACTACGTTCTCCAATTACTTATTTATTTTTTATAGTATTTATTTGTAAGATTAAATTAAAAAATATGTAGAATACCCAATAAGGATCATACTTTTGGAAAAACTCTAAAGTATTGTATTAATTTATTAAAAACAATTGAAAAAACAACTAAGCTATAACGAGAGTTTATATACTAAAACCACCCTACGACTAATTAGAAGAATCGGCTTGAATCTAGCGACATCCACATCATGAATGATCCAATGCTATCATATAATTTGGAACCAAATCATGTTACTTTTGATTTATATTTGCCTTTCCCTCTTATTTACTTGACCGGCTTCGAATCACTTCGTCTAATAAGTTAAGCTATTTAAAAGGATATGGATTTATTTATTTAATTTGATCGAATTCTCTTTCAATGAAGTCGTTATTTTCACAGGTGTGTGTCTACAAAACTTGAAGTTCGGACTTTGTCAGTGTCGATAATAAAGTAAAGATTTTAACTATTCATCATTCATTTATGAAGTATCCATAATTCACATTGATACTACAGAAAATCATTTAAATGATCTTGGCATTTCTGCACATCCGATTCCTCTACGCGTTGTAGGTAAGATCAAGAACAAAAAGCTCGAAAAAACCCCAGCTCCTAGAGGTAAATTCATCACCAAAACATTCATATTCTCTCCGGCATGAGGAAAGAAACAATTTTGAACATCAGAGTCACTAAGAGCAAAGATCAAGAACACGAAAAGCGACACAAATGCATGAACAAAGTCTACGAAACTGATTTTGAACTTAGTTAAGTCGATAGTATTATCCCTCGAGTTTTCTCCATCTGATTCTTGATCGTGAGAACAATTATTATCGTCATTGAAAATATGCATGCCTTTGAAGGTGGCAATGCCGTAGTACAACTTGCCTTCATCTACGAAGCTATCAGTAAAGGAAGAGAGAAAGCAAACAATTGCACATAATGCCATTAGAAATGCTGTGAGGCACTTGTTGGACAATTGACAAATGCCCTTGTTCGAAAAGGAAGGCGTAAGGGTCCGAAAAGAAAGGACAGTGCCGGTCGGTAGAAGATTGGCAAGGTTTGCTGCAGTGGCTAAGGTTTTGTGTACTGGATGGATAGAATTATCAGTACGTTCTTTCTTCCTCCTCGGAATCGATGGTGGCAGAAGCGGAGATGGAGGTGGTAACGGTGGTTGTGCTGAATTTGGTTGAGCCATGTTTGTGATGAAGGAAGGATTTGTTTTCATTATTTGCTTAGTTATATTTGTTGTCTTGTTGTTAATAGTTTATAGACAAGTGGGGTGGTGGGGAGGGGGGGTTGAGGGGGGTGAGAGCTTATCAAGCTTGGTTATTATCTGAAGTATGGACACATTGTACATGTGAATTGTGATATACTACAAATGAGAGAGGATGACGTTGGAGTTTTCTGCAGCTGCCTAAGTTGTATACTAAAGAAAGTATAATATTTGATTCTTATGCTAAACTCACATAACTTAGGCACATGGAAAACGTCACCATTTAGGATTTCATACACTTCTCCTTCGCATTGAGAGATTTTTATCCTTGATTTATCAAATATTACATGTGTAAGCATCAATTGCGTCTCGCATAATTCAAAAATTACTTAAATATTAACTTTTTATATCTTACACTTAAAATGATGTCGAATGACCTTCATTTCATTTAGAAGTTCAAGTTATTATTTATGTCTCCTTCAGCATGACACGTGCACAATTTTTATAAATGGATGGTAACGTCAATTGATTTTGAGATCTTCGTATGCTATGATACCATGATGAATCATGTAATAACCTTAATTGCATCCTACACCACTACATTAAGGCTTAAAGGTAGTCACAAGTCCATGAGCCAAGGCTTGAGGATAACTTCACAAAACCAATATTTCATTGAAAGTAGTTTGTTTGTCGATGCCTATTCTGATATCAATTGCACAACATTAAGTAAAACTTCCTTTAAATTAGTCTTGCGAGGGGAGTTTGCACATAGAATTATAAGTCTAAAAAGCAAACCTTAACTCGACAATGTGAAACACTATCAAAATCGTTAAAACTATCTCATCTAAAAATTAAACTATTTTGTTGATAAATTAGAAAAAGACGCCAATTCTTCTTCGTATGCGATTCTATAAATACTTAAAAAACAAATAAGTTTATCAAATTGTTGATAGCCCATATTTCAGAATAGGTAACTTCACATAGCCAATATTTCACTGAAAATAGTCTGTTTACAAATTGTAAACCATTGACAAAAACTCATTCTTAAAATAGTCTTTGCATAAAGAATTATAAGTCAACAAGCAAACCTTAACTCAGCAATGTGAAAATCAATTGAAGCCATTAAAACTACCTCATCTAAAAATTAAATTGCTCTACCGATGAATAATTAGAAAAGACGCCAATTTTTCTTCGAAAAATAGGTTTTTGTTAATTCACAAAAAATGGACTCTAACAGCTAAAAATAAACATATTTATCAAATTCTTGGATAATATTTTGCAACGGAAAGTATTCATTAAAAAGCGTCTGTTATAACTTGTGCAATTGAATTCTAAGCTTCCAAATGAATTGCAATTCCTCGATCGATTCAACACAAATCCTCCTCGAATACGATTCTTGCTGTTTCGGTACCCTTTTGGTGTACGCAAACTAATATTCAAAATGCAGGAGGTGACCAAGCTTTGAGAAAAGTTTTCTTTTAGTCACCCCAACTTTTTTATTTGAATTTTGTAAGCCCTTATTTCACTACGGTTTATAAATTATATATAAACGTTCAAATCAATTTTTAACCATGTATTTCGTGAGACTCACAAGTACTAATTATTTATCCAGCACTCATTACTGTTTATTTATTTTTAATTTAATTGTTTATAAAGAACTATTGAACATTCTTTGGTTACCAATAACATTCTGTCACAAGATTCAATGTCCATTTGTAAGTTTGACTAAAAGACATTATGCCTCATAATCCAAATGACAGAAATTAAAATCAATTTTTTAGTAAATTTTGATAAAAGTTGAATGAATGTGTATAGTTGAAAAATTGTGGGTTCTATGAAATGTGTGATCAAAATTAATTATTGACTTTAACTTAAATTTTAATCAAATCTTTTAGAGTTACCAAGTAGGGAATATATTTTTCCTTCCCTCATTTTCAACTTCTGCGATAATGAATGATGACATGTCTAGTGAGAAGGTTGATAATATTTTTATATACAACCAAAAAAAAAAAAGAAGAAGCTAAAATTGTGTATATAAAATAAGTAAGGATGTTAAGTGCGTCAAGCCATGGGCATGAGCCAAATAAAATTTCTTGTGCGAGCCAGATCATCATAAATTTCAGTAAAAAAAGATTTGGCTCGCTAGCCGTCCCACCAAGGGACGAGTTTGCGGGGAGAGCCGAGCCTCAGTTTGGTGAAACGAATTGGCTATCCGAACATAAGGAAGTGATAATTTTACTGAGTTTATTTGACTAGTTTTGTGAGTTTTTATAATAAATATCAACAAATTTCAACCACAAATTTGAGGGCTGTGATACTATGGAGGCACAAAAATTGGACCAATGCTTGAAGATAAGTCTAATGCTTCGAACGAATGCACATTGTCCAGGCGGGTCATAAAGTTGAGGCCAAAAAGAATATTGCGTTTGAAGCCACATATTTCACTAAATAGACAAGATTAGACCGCAACTGGTTGAGCAACATGACTAGAACTAACGACCTGCATTAAGAGAAATATATATTAAGTCATATTGCTGAAATTCTACGACTTTTTTGACCCGACTGAAAATAAATATGCAATATATAGAAGAATCTGTCGCGATGCAATGAATATGATTTTAATTAGTGTTTAATAGGTCATCTAATGTACCAGCGAAGAACGCGAGGGAACTTGGGGTCAGGTCCTAGGGAGGGTTTCCTACTTACCTGCAATGTATATATGCAAGCGTGTAAGGGATTCTTGAAACGACTTGGCAATCTTATCTAGGATTTCCAATATAACACAACATATTTACGTAGATTTGGACTACAGAGAGCCACGTCTAGTGGCAAACAATGCAAAAGGGTTTCACAGTGATGTCAGCCAGCAATGAACGATAAGTTCAGTATTTTCCAGGGTCGAGATGCAGACACAAATGGACAATGCTGTCCTCTATTGACTCTTCACATGAGACCTCGGGGCACAATTATGGGTTCTATCAGGGAAAAAAAAAAAAAGAAACAAACAAACCTGGGGAGAAAGTGGAGATATTACCTTTGCTGATTTGAAGAGCTCGTCTAGAACTTCTGACAGCGTTGGATGAGCATGAACAGCGAATTTTAATTCCTGCAGAATTTAAGAGTTTTCAGGAATAATAAGCATCTGAATTTAGAAGCAGATTATTTAAATAAATGTAGAAAACTTGGTGAATCCTGCAAGCTTTGCAACTGAAAAGAAAGGCCCAGAGCTAGTTTTTTGTTTTTGTTTTTTTTGTCTTTTTCAGTGCATGCAAGAGAAAGGAAAGTCAAATGGGTCGTGATTCTACTCATACGCAACAGTTTTTTAATCACGAACTTCGCTGCTAAAGATAGGCATCCATCCAGGCGCAATAAAACATAATTTAAGAAAAGAAGATTCTGCAAAGAAAAGTACATAATCACAAATTTTACCTGTATACGCGTTCCCATGGCTATGGCATTTGATGCTTCATGTATGAGGTCTGCAGCATGCAACCCAAAAATGTGAACCCCAAGGATCTCTCCAGTGTCAGCTCTGTAAATCAACTGCAAGAAAATAATGGGATTGGTTGGTACTCATTCTCTTCAAATCAAAAGAAAAAACTGTAGTAGATTAATGGCAGATCCAGGATTTGCAGGTACGGATTCAACTTAGGTAGGAGAATATCAAGGGGGTGGAATTTACAGAACAACAGTGTGTGTATATTTAGTTGAAACTGGTTCCCTCCCAAATTATCCATCTTTTCCTTCATGAAGTAAATGACGACAGACTATCGACCATTCATACTTGTCACACTACAATTTATACAGAATTTTACATCACCTTGGCAATTCCTTCTCCTTCATTTTCAGCAAGGGCTTTTGTGTTAGCTTTGAAACTAGTCTTTGTAATACTCACTTCAAATCCCTCCTTCTCGGCCTTTTCTCTTGCTTGTGGCTGCAAAAGTCAAGATTATTCAAGCAAAGTTTTATACAACAAATGAACAATATTCAGAAAAATCACCTGCAAGAAATAAAATATACAACTTTTTTTCTATTTCTTTAAAGTCCTATCCACTAGTTGAGATAGATATAAAACTTTTACCACGAAACAAGGATGGATTTTTTGGAAAATGGATGCTAGGAATTAATATACAAAGAGAGTTAAGATCAATTAAATAAAAATAAATTCTTGTCATTTTGAAAGGTGTTAATAAAAATGCGCTCTCTCTGTGTATGTCTGTGCGCGCGCGCGTTTCAGATAGGCACTGCTGTAGCAAGCTAATCAGAACAACTATGAAAGTTTCTATTCGCAAGATTTACTCCAATATCTGAAAGGCGACAAAATCAGCTCCTCTAATCTATTTGTGGCAATAAGAAAATTTTCTTCTTCAAAACAAGAACTAAGATATGATATCTCTCTCCAAAAATGCAGACCAGCTACAAATATTACAATGCAGGATAATACCAGCGGATTCACATTCACTTCCAATCAATGTTGTGATTCTGAGAAATAAGAATCCACTACAATTTCTTTGAGCCTCGAGCTTGACAAGACTGGACGCAGCTAAATACTGTTACCACACCACCACAGGTGGTCAGCACAATGAATACTATAACTAACCACTATCACATGGAGTATAATAAGTAAGAATCCCATAACTGAAACTAACATGAATGTATTCCGTGAAACCTAGCAATCTACCAAAACTCATCCATTTTTTTGGAGTTTTGAACAAGTTATGGAACAGTCACAATACCCCAAAGTGATTTGTATATATCCATGGCTTCTTACCACCTGAAGATTATTTCGCAAGTCTTCTAAATAAGTCCTGCCCAAAACTTTTAGATGTAGAATAGAGGCAAGAGTCTCAAAGTGCATAACTAAAAAGAACGGTTCAGCTGGGTTAAGTTTCTTCCACTCCTTCAATGGTTACTTGATGGGTGATGGTCAATATTTCGAGTGCATCTATGATGATGTACAGTAATTCTACTAATACAAGCAA